GGGGGGTCATGTCAGCTTTTTTGTTTAATTTCTGAGCACTTACAAGATGTTGTACTGAGATTCACTTTTTTTTTTTTTCAAACGTAACTCAAAATACCCTTTTCTAATGCGTGTTTTGCAGTACACAGTGGCGGACTCTAGGTGGCAGCAAATATCCAATTATAAATGGTACATTTTGACGTACTTTTTTGTAAGCCACTTTAAGATGTATGTACAACAATAAATAAATAAAAATGTTTATTACTCACCACATTTCCTTCATTTATTCGTTTTTACACATTTTGGTTTAACTTCATATTTCCTTTTTGAATAACTTATTTGGGACATTAAAGAGAAACATTAACATGTTGAGGTTGATAAACTTTAAAGTAATGTTTGTCTTGGCCCTCTGACTTTCACACAGACTCCCTGAAAAACAGCCAGACACAGGACAGGACTGGTGAGCTGAATAATAAACATTTCTTTGGTTTCCACTTTACATTCTGTGGCCTGCTTACATTCAGGTTTTAAACTGTTTCTGGTCATGTCATGTTTGTGTTGGAGAATAAACCTGGCTGGGTGGTAAGGCACATGTTAAAACACAACCTTCACCTGTTTCTTTCGCCTGTCACTGAAAACTTAGAGTTTTTAATTTTCCTCTGTGTCATTCTGTCCTTTTGTTGCTGCGGCGTATCAAATTCCCTAGTGTGGGATCTGTTAAGTCTACCGTAATCTAATCTCATCTAATCTAATGTTGAGTGTGATTGTCCCAGTTCATCCAGTGTCCTTGTGTTACATGGAACATCCTCATCCATTTGCAACAAATATACACTAGGGGTTTTGCTTTGAAAACACAGCTCAGAATTCCCTGTGCTGCTGATGCTGCTGACATGCCTGTAATACCCTCTGTGTGCGAAGGTTGCAGACCTTTGGCTCTGTGTGCAGTGGGTTGGTTGGTTGGTGGTCCCTGACTTTGTTTACACCACACTTCACACTACTGTATGTAATGCTGCCTGACTGGCTCACCCAGTGGTGTGTACAAATCTGAATTTACATATACATATATACCTTTCAGTGATACTTTGGATTCTAATAGTTCTTTTGAGCATGCCATCTGGAAAAGATTTAAAATAAAATACCAATGAAAGACTTCAACATTATTTTTGCCTTTGTTTAATATATTTGACTGCCCAGCCAGCCAGCCAAAAAACAAAAAAAAAGTCTAGGATCACTGCTGTACAAAAGGTTATTTACCTGCTGTTCAACTTCAGTGACGCCAAACAACTTACAATAACCACGATTACCTGATGAGGTCGCCACAGTTCAAGCTGTAGCGTAAATTGGTTGCTAGGTAAGTCAGATCCACTGCATTCCAGGCATGGATTTTGCCACTGATTCACAGTGACGTAAACAAAGTCTGCTGGTCGGTACTATGTTGATGAAGTAATGTCCATGTTTACCAATATTACATATTTCGTCTAATTTCGGTTTAGAGAATAATTGGATTCGAACAAACGCCGACATTTGTCGCAGCTTTTAACGGGGCTAACACAAACCCACATCAATTATGCAAAATTAGCATAAAAGCCCCGACTCATCGTTCAACACATTTTCTCTAATGTCCATTAATGGGAGCACAGACACACAGTGAGCAAATAAACACAAAAATGGATCAAGAAAGACAAGCAGGATTTTCAGACATAACGAACACCAGCTCTGACGATTATATTCACGGTTGATAAGTGCTGCCTGAGGACGTGTTGATGTGATTTACAAACAAAAACAATGTGAGAAAATACTCTTTCACAAAGATATAGAGTTGCATCTCCACCAAATAAACTTCAACAGAATATCTCAAAGAGTAAACACAATGCTCCAAAAGGAAAGTCGTGAATGTAAAGCAGCCTTTTACTCCTACAGCCAGTCCAGGTGGTGCTGCGTTTCCTTTTATAACCTTGGGATTTTTTAATTTAGCAATACATCAAGTTTTATGAGCAGCTTTGTGTTTTGCATATAAAATCTTTATCTGGAAAGTACTGAGCATCAGTACATAACAAGAATTATATCTCTATGTGAAGTACACGTTCTATAAAAACGTCTTCCAGGGTGTCAATCTTGTTTTTATTTTTAAATAAAATAACCAAAATAGATACCCTAAAGCCCAAAGACTTTAAGTGATATCTTTAAAAAATACTAAATGAGTGAGACAGTTAAAACGAAGGCAACTTGTCAATTTAGCGAGAGTTAGAGTTATTACACAAAAGCCAAAGGATGAGTAGAAAATATGGAATTAAAAGAGGAAAAATCACTATCTACTTTATCAGATGTTTGTAAACTGATTAGGTAAAGGTTTTTTATGCTGGATGCCTTTCCTGATCTAACCAGGGTAATGTAAGAGTTGGAGGCTCGGTGGATTCAGACCTTCAGTGGGACCCATAATTCAGAATCACTGTTTCGCTATCGTCCCCTAGTAAAGTCAAACAGAGATTAACCCCAACATTTGTTTAGCTAATATAGAGATTCAAAGTACTATATAACATATAACATATACATAATTTATATTTACACAAAGAAAAAAATGTTTTGATGTATTTTACAGCTGCTGTCGGTGTTGTTGTGTTAGCAAAATGAAATGTTTACTGACCATATAAATGGGTTGGAAAACAGCATTGTCTTCCAATTTACAAAACTGGGTGATTTCCTGGAGCACTTCCGGTCGTGGTCGAAGGGATAACATTGGCTATGGATGACACTCTTTTAAAACCTAGTATTAAGTCTTTGGTGAATCATTATTATTTGTCTCCAGTAGAAACAAATAATGGCTCCTGATAGGAATAAAAACGTCATTTTTTCCATTTGAAATATGAATTTACGTTTTTAATTGTGAATACATATTTATTATAAATATTTCATTTCAAGTAGAAAGAGCGTATAAACATTCCACTGAAATCCTCGAGAGTGGACCTTTGTTTATTGTGTTGGAAACATTGTATTTCATAGACAGCTAGAGTGTTTTGACAGGTTTATGAGACATGCACAAAGAAATTAAAAAGAGGAGGATTGAGTCTTTTTTTTCCTTCCCCCCTCTCTCTCTCTGTTGATCTGTGCATCTCTTAGAAATGACCTCATGCTCGAAGGAAAAGGGGGAAAGAGGAGCAAGAAGTAGGAGGAGGAGCTGCAGCCGCCCAGAGTCCTGGAGTCTGAACGCCTCCCCACCTCTCATGATCAAGTGGTGACCGTGTGGAGTCCGTGTGGAGTTCTTACTCTGGACTACAGGACTGGGACAAAACTTTTATTTGGACTTTTATATCCATGACATTTGACAGGTAAGACTTGTAGCGACTCTTTGACGTTCTAAGTGGTTTCACAGAAGTCCCGGACTCCTCGGAGCAATGTGCAAACTCTCTTTTCCTCTACGGAGAAGTAAAGAGAAAGTGTGACAGTTTGGTGGGAGTTTAGTGCAGTGCTGCCGGGGAGGAATGTCGGGACTTGTCCGTCTAACAGCCGTCAGGAGGAGCAGCTCCATTGTCGGCGTGTTAACTTCTATTCTCAGCTCGTTTTAAGTGTGATCGAGACAGTGTGTCGCTGCTGCTGCTCAACCTGGAGGAATGAGCACTAAGTCGCACTTCATGTAAATATTTTTGTTATATTCTACTGGTTTGTTGTGAGTTTTGCTGAAGCGTATTTAAACACAGTCAAACTTTGTTTCAGTAGGAAATGGAACCAACTTGCGTTACCAGTACGTTTGAGTCTATTTTAGTGAGAATATTCCACTGTTTTAAACTCAACTTTTTTGACTGGTATTTTGGTTTTGGCGGAAACTTGGATTGATTAGTCAGTTGGCATAGATAGCATTTGATAGGTGACCCACAATGCATTGCACAGCTTCAAAAACAAACAGAAACTCCGTAATGATTTTAAAAATATATGATTTACCAGTAGCAACACGTACGGTATTTGCACAGTGTGTTTACATGCTAGTCGCTCCTCACTAGATATATGGCATGCACCTGAGTACAGCAATGGCGGCCCTAAGGGGTGGCATAGGCTGCAAAAATACCAGGCCACCCTAGTTGCTGACTAGTTGCTGACTGCAAATTCAATTTTTTTACACTTCAATCGAGTTCTGAGTCATGTCTCTTGCACCAGGTCAGAACCCTGGATTTTTTTTTTTTACCTTTTCTAAGAACTGAAATCCAGTTACTTTAAAACAATAACTGGTTTCCATTCAATATTGTTTTGTAGTATCTCTATTTTCACAATTGTGAATGTTTGAATTAGAAATGGGAACCAGTGCCCTGACGTACTGCAGTATTTATACCCACACTATGATACATGTTATAAGCAATCTATCAGGCCTGGCATAGATAATATACTTCAGTGAATTTGTTTGTATTCTTCTGTTTACTTTTTGTCAAAGTTGAATTCAATCTGTTTATAGGGTTCTGCTCCATAAAATCCTGCCTGTCTCCCACCACCCCATAAATATTTTCCTAAACTATTCCCTACAGAACTGACAAATGAAAGGCTGCTGGTGGACTGACCAGTGTAAAATTGCCAAAGCACCGAAAGTTTTGTGGACCTGTACACCTCCAACGGTGTTGTGTCAGAGATTATGTAGACTTTATACTAATACACTATTATACAAATATTATAGACAACTACACATGGACTATTCATGTCTTTTTAAAGGTATTTTTCTTCTCTATTACGGAAATTAACCCTGTACTTCTCTTTTCACGTCTGTGGATGGAGTGAGTAAACCTGCCTCGACAGTAGTCAACCTTTTAATCCTAATCCTGTTAAATATGTTCAAGTTATGTCATGGCTATTCTGGAGTGACATCCTGCCCACTGGGATGCACATGCACTTCATTACTTTTCTTGGACTTGTGGTCTTGTTTGATGCTAATGTTAGTCTGTATTTGGTGATTGGATGCGGTGGTTTTGAAAGCAAAACCCAGCCCAGATATAGTGGTAGGGCTAGGGCTAAAGAACTGTAATCTTGTCCTCCCACAAGCTGTACGTAGAACGCCTCTTGTAGATTGGCTCTCTTCTGTTGCCAGCACTATTTGGAGGAACCTTCCAGTATCCCTGGCAGGTGCTTTAAAAATCTCTGGTTTTCCTCTCTTGAGGAACAGTTTTAAATATAGCTTTGGCCTTGGCCTGTGCCTCTGTCTTTTCTATGGTTCCTACATGTCACTCATACTTAACAGGTGAAAAAATAAAAATCAACTTGTGACAGTTTATTAACATGGAAATACTTCCCAGCAATGTCTGATACTAACAGGCAAATGATGGATTTATAGGCCTCCATGTGTTTTCAGATATTTGTCTTAGAGAGCGCTGTCTTTTTTGAAAGTGTCACAAGAGTTAGTCTCCCAGTCTCTGAAGAGCCAAGTTCCCATGTCCCTAGCCAGTTGGCCTGTAACAGATGCTGGCATCAGAGGCACATTGTCATGGCTGAGAAGAGAAAGTTATTGGAGCCAGAGGCCTGACAGACAGCACATACTGAGATGTCATTAATAATGATCATCATTATTGTTCATCAAAGGGCCTCTCCCCGTAGGAAAACATGACTCCAATAGAAAAGAAAGGTTCAGGTTCAGGATGCTAACTGTGGCTGACAGGGTCATTTTTTAAAAAAAAGTGCATAAATTTTACAATATTTGTGTAAATACAAGTTCAGGAATCATTTATTAACCTTGCTATACATACAAAAAAATGTGTCATATATTAATCTTAATGTTGTACTGTTTTCTGATACTTAGTTCAGCTTGTGATGAAGACAGGAGCAGTTGGATTTTGGCAGTGTATAGATGAGGCATTAGCACCGTTCCCTCTCATGTTTGTTGAAACTTATTTATTCAGTGTTGTTATTTGTTTATTGAAATGTGTAAATATTACTACACAGTTAAAGTGACACTTACTGGTAAGGAGTGTTTTTAACTGAAATGCACTGTTAGTGTAAAAGTTCTGTTCACTTTCTGTTCTGTTGGCAGTGTTAACTCAGAAGGAAGTTTAATTTTGTTTATCCTTATTTTTGGATGTGATTATGTATTTTTTCATCCTTGTTTTATGCGTGTATCATAACAGAACAAATCTTGCAGTAAATCCATCTCCTGTCTTTGTCCCTGTTGTTAAAATACCTCCAAACTGATGACATTGTTGACCTACTTCAATAAACTACCCAAGAAGGCAATGAGCCTCTGAACCGCAGGGAAACTCATAACACTTGAGCCTAGTTCTTAAATAGATTTTGGAACTTTGGATAAATGAGGGACAACCCAAGGAGAGACACACTGTCCTTTAGTACTGTACTGACAGTTGACAGAAAGATTTAAAAGTACTGTGCTACTATCCCTTATAAAAAGTATGTTCTAGAGATTGTACTGTAAGAAAGTCTCAGCTCTAGTGGCATGATGAAATCAATGTCTGTTCTCATTAGTTCTCACAGACCTGATCTCAGGTCAGTGCTACTGGCAAAGTTGGGTTGTGTAATTGAATTTGCTTGAGTTTCTTAAATGCTAATAAAAATTCATGTATCAACTTGCTTGTCTTACACTTTAATCGCCCCGCTCTCCCTCAGGTCATCTATTAAAATGTTACAAAATGACAGCCTTGCATATTGAGTTGCAGTTTTAATTCAGGGATAGTGTTGGTCATCGTCCATGACAATCTCCTGAGTCACACATCAGTAATTTATCATTTCAGAAGTACTGTATTTTCTACAAATGAAAGGAAGTTGAAAGTCCAAATGAACACGCGTGAGTAAGTTCCAGAGGTGTGTGCATGTGCTCGTGTGCATTTAAAGCACGTGCGTGTTTGGAAGTGGTTCTTGGTAACAGCTGTTACTGATTTACATTTTTGTCAAGCCTTTCTGAAAGCGGAGTGGTGCAGAGCGCCTCAGACATACCATAGTGTGAAAACCAGTGTTTATTGTTGGCACTTGTCAGGGCTCCAAAGCTATTCATTTACATTTAAAATAATAAAAAAAAGAGAATACATATACAGTTAAATTATCATCATTCCTGATGTGGTTCTCATATCTGTGCGCTATAAGTGGTGGTGTCTAGTTGACCTGAATGGGAAAACCTTCTCTTACTTGTCATTTTATCGCCAAAGAGGAAAGCCCTCAAGCACTTTGTGATTTCACAGGGGAAGAGTACTGCAATCTCACAACTTTGTGGTAGTGTCTGTCAAAGTCTGTGAACTAAACATAAAGTGTATAACTCTTATCCCCAGGCTGATTTATTCCAGCCATAAAAATGATTTAGTAAAACTAATTTTTTTCACTTTTTTATGTTCCTAGTCGAACCTGTTAGCTAAACTGTAGGTACTATAACACTGTCCTTTAAAGCTTGTTTCAGACATGTACGTTGAATCTGTTTTCTGAATGTGGCCCCGCCCTGTTCCCACACATATGATTATATATTTTATATCGTGTCTGTACATGCTGGTGAGCTCAGTAAGTGTTCTCTCCAAATCATTGATGCTCTAATCAATTCACTCAGAAAAGCCAATAAGTATTTGACTTTAAAGTCTGCAGGAGTCATTGTGTTCCATGTTTGTAAACGGAGATCATTTAGTTTTCCATTCTCCCATGCAGAGGGAGCTAATCAACATTTGTAAACTGTATTTTGTGAGTACATTAGGCTGGTACCACATTATTGTAATTGTACTATAAATCAAATCTTGTTACTTCAAACAACACAAGGAAAGGATTCACTTACTAGGCGAATGATTTCTCACCAATATGTGCTACTACAACAAAGCTTCTTTCAAATCACTTGAAACTCACTTCTGTTCGTCAACTTTTTATTAATAGGCCACAGTATCAGGTAGACTACAACAGTGAATCAATTCTGAAACAATGATCTCAGTATTTCAGTAGTGGCATCTTTGTCTGAGCAGCTGAAACCTTGAATTGCACATCATCCCTGCTGTTCTTCAATAGTCATTAAAACAGTCTCATTGTGAACAGACTCCATCTGAGCGTTTGCATAAACTACTACCTGTAGACTTTAAGCACTGCTTGTTAATGTTTTACCCAAACTCAAACAGCCGACTTCCTGGGAGGCTAATGTCAAATTAAGCAGTAACAGCACCGCCTAATTAATTTTTTTATGCCTGCTCTTCATTACATTGAAGGCTTTGACAAATCAGTACCTATGTTGTAAAAAAAGTTTAATCAGCAGTCATTATGGGAGGTAATGAGTGCAAATTTAAGGAGTGGATTATTGTAAATCCATCAACAGTGGAATTCTTGAAAAAGGTGGATCCCAGTGTGGTGTGAGGAGTGTGTCATAGTAGAGGGAAGACAGACCAAGTGATGCAATGTTAGCGTCAGGGCCAGTCATGTTCACACCCTAACAAGGTGGTCTCATTGAAAGGTTAGTCATGCAGTAATATGCACAGTTTTATAAGGTTATCTGTTTGTTTTGGGATGACGTGCACTGTCTTTTTGATCCATCCAACAGTTTAATTTCAGGTTGTGTCTCTTTCCATAGCCTGGGGTGTAGCTGTAAATACAAAGCAGTGATAGCCCTCTAAAACATGCCTTGACACTTCTGGGGCAACACAGCTGGGATAAAAAAAAATACAAGTTGAACTTATGCTGCCGTCAGGGCAGGTGTCTAGAAAGTCCTTCAAAAAAGACTGTACCTTTCCCATGGCAGTCTAATTTGTAGATCAGACTTGTTATCCTTTGTAATTTCATTCTGAGCCAAGGAGCTTGTCATACTCAATAACAGACTAGCTGGCTTTGCCCCCAGCTAGAACTGAATCTGCCTGTGTATATGAGGAGTATAAGTTCCCACATGATAGAGCAAATATTATCAGGGAGTAACTACAGAGCACTGTCAGTGCTGTTCACTAGGGCTAAGGTCTGTGGCCTTCAACTTCTAATCTCATCAAAACAATCATCAATTGTGTAAATAACAAAATTACTAGTGGTAAGAATGAATCCAGTTCACCTTTGTGACACGTGTCTCGTTAATGTTACAGTAGCAGTGACAGCATTTAAAGTAATTTAACTAAAACGTGAATTTCTCTGTTGAAGTCGGTTTTGTTTTAAAAATAGTGTGAGGTGTTAAACACATAGGCTATATTAACCTCAGACATTGATAAGCATAGCCCCACCCAGAGTATTAAGGAACTAGGTGCCATGCAGACTATTAGTTTTCCCCTGAAACAATATCATTCTCTATATGACCCTTGGCACCAGTTGATCTGGTCTACAGAAGTAGTTTCTGTCCTATAGTTCTACAAACATGTCTAACGTGGACACTTGAATTGAACAGAGACCATTGTTAAAGTTCTCAGGAACACCTGTGCTTTTCCTGCAGAGACATGTCAATCTATCCAAAAGGACTATAGGCGTTCAAGGATTTCCTAAACAAAGGGAACAATAAAGTTGCATTCTCAGAGGGAAGGCTTCCTTTCATTTGTTTTTTTTTTCTTCTATTTTTATCTCATCACATTCTCTTAATCTTATTAAACAATTCAATGTGTCATTAGAAATTAGTTTTCTCTGGGATAATGGCACAAGATCAGCTTACCTTGTGCTTCTGTGTCCAATGAGGTCAGATTTTATAGATGAATGTCGTAAGTTGGCGGTAGTGTTATAAAAACCAGGTCAGTATTTACTCCCTGCTCATTATGAAATCATTAAAACATGAAAACATTAAGCTGTGATGTTCTGGCTAAGGCTGAATTACTGCAGGAAGTACCTAAGTCGAACCTTAGGACTTGTTACATAAAAATGTCTGTGCTTTTGTTATTTCCCTGCTATTTCCTCATCTAAGTGTGAACAAAAACCTCTGCTTACAATGGCCGACACCAATGCCATGCCGTCCTCTGTACCAACTCCCTACTTCCTCTGTCAAGGGTTTGTCAGTTAACTTCCCATTGTTTATGGAGCACTTGAACTGACCGCCCAGGCAGGACCCATTTCCTGCTCTTAGTGAATGGGCAACAAAAGAGCTGATAATTATGGAGCTCACGAGAATATTTAAAAATATCTGATCTCATTCAAGACCAAAGCTCCTACATGAGCGGGGAAATCAACCTTGATGAGTCTGTTTTTCCACGACAACAGTTTGGAAATTTGATAAATATCAGTTGTTTGGAATCAGAGTTGCTGGAAGGAAAGGCATACGGTGCAACTGCCATTTCGGTGGCCCTGTTACTTTGAGGATATCTCTCTATTGTTAGCCGTCATATGCAGGACAAAGGAAGTTCTAATAGACTAACTGCCAATCCACGTGAATACCCAACAGCCAGAGGCTCTGGTTCTAAACAATCTAGGTTCAGGTCTATATATAACTCTCCTCTCAGATGACTGTGGCACTGAATGATAGCTCCATTAAACACATGTCACATAGGTATTGTGAAGGGGAGGATTTCCTTATATATATATATTTTTTTTTCACATGTTGAATGGATTTGAACTCCATCAGTTCAGTAGTGACCTGGAAATCATACGTGTTGATATCCTGAAGCACCTTTGAACCACTCTGGGTTCCAATTTCACCACATTGTACCTTAGGCTATAGTTGTTTTCTCTGCTACCTTAAACTATGTAACGGTAACAGACTTCCAACATATAAAGGTCAGACATAGGGCTGGGCTATTGCACTGTATAATCACCCATTTAATCCGTCAACACTGACCAATAGCTTCCTTTGACAAGTAACACTTAGAGAGATTCA